TCTGCCTGGGCCTTATCTCTATCAAGGGCAAACATAAAAATGGTTTTCTTAGTCTGACCATAAAGTGTTCCCAAATCAAAGTATAGATCAGGAAACCAGGTCCTGAAGGGGCTGCCTGGGAAGTCTGGATCAGGATCTTTCCTGAGTCAGCATTGATGACTCTGTATGAGATTAAAGGCTAGGTGGGGGTTGTGGTCCCCATGGTGACCCAGTGCAAAGCCCCAGCAGACATTTGCTAAGGGAGCACTGGGACAAGCTCTTCACTGAGCTGGATCAGTGATTTTCTGGATTCTCAGTTTTAGAGGGTCCTGTGGTTGTGCAACGGCTTCTCCAAAGTTCAAGGTTGACTCCCTCTGGAGCGTAGTCAGCAGGATCAGCATGCGGGCCCATGGTTTCATTCGTGGGAATGGTGAATCCAAGTGCTGACCCTGTCCACTTTGACAGCCATGGGCATTGTCAGGATGACAGTGTAAGGTCCCTTCCAACCAGGATCTACGGTCTCTTTTCTGTTTCTCTTGATGATCCCCGGGTCTCCTGACCAGAACCTGTGGGGCATAGGAGGTGGTACCTTCTCATAGACTGCAAGTGGCTGAGCCAAAGTTGTTTCTGCACCTGAGGCAGAACTTGTAGAAAGTATAGGAATTTTTTGGTCAATTTCAGCTAGTAGCTCTGCCCTGAGGCTGGGCAGAAGGTATGGTAGCCTGACATGTATGATCTCAAATTGCGTCAGCCTAAGGGACCTCTGACAGTGGAACCAGGATGCATCCCTCCTGCAGGAAAGGACTTAGGGAGCACATTCCCCATGGAGGGACACTCCCTTAGCCTAGAGGCAGAAGGGAGGGCCTAGTCCCTACTCCAAATGATTTGACAGATTTTGTTGATCCTGCCTGGGAGGCCTCACCCTCCCTGTGGAGTGTGAGGGGGAGGTGATGGGAGGGTGGTTGGGGGGGCATTGGAAGCAGGAACTGGGATTGATACGTAAAATAGGAAAAAAATTATAAGCATACACACACACGTATACATACATACATATATACATAAAACCTTAGCTATTATACTCTCACCTCAGCAAAAATCTAGATCCTCCAAGGCAGCTGCACACTGGGACCTTTCCTGGGAAACTTACTGCTCAGCTCCTTAAGGCATTTGGAGCTTGGCGCCCATCCTTGTCGCAGCCCAGACATGAGCTGCAGCCTCATGAACACCAGGGGGCGACAATAAACCACATATCAACAGGGAAACTGCTCCTGGAGGTGTGAGGTCATCTTGCTGTCTTGTTGGTATCCCAGTTCCAACAGAGCTGGAGCTCCCTCAATAATCATTTCCTGTGTCTCTGAGAAGCCCACTCCTCAGGGAGACCTAGGCCGTCCCCTCCCTCCTCTCGTCATCCACAAAGAAAAACAGGGAGATCACAGAAAATCACCAAGGAGAAGAATGGCATCCCAGAAAGTTCAGGGAGGGCATGGGCAGACCTGGATCACATTTAGCCAACACAGGAGGCTGGGTATGTTTGTGTGTGTGAGGGTGGTGGTGGGAGGTGTCTCCCTGGTGCCGTTCATAAGAAGTCAAAGAACACAGCCCTCTTTCTAGGACACACACGCCACCTCTCCTGCACACTAGGATATACAACCCCTGAGCTAACTTGTATCCTGCTCAGACACATGACTGGTGACACCAGTGACAATGGGCCTGGCCCTTCACAGTCATTGCTCAGCTAGAACTTTTCTAACATCTAGAGTTAAGTGCTACTCCCTGGCCAGAGGAGCTGCCACCCTCCCAGAGCTTTGGGAACACAGCGCAGGCTGGGATGGATGGGTTTCTGTGTCACAAGGAAATACACTCTTGCCTATGGAAGTGCAGGGACTCCCTCTGGTGCTAACAGACAAGGCCAGGACACAGCAGAGGGCAGCCCTGGGGTGAGTGCTGGTCTCTCAGGACACAGGACACGTATCAGTCTTGTGGCTAAAAGTGTGTTCTAGAACACCGAACCAGAAAGGAATAGAAGGATGGAAGGCAGGACTGGCACACAGACTCCACCCCCAGCCCATGTGACTCCAGGAGGTGCCCTCCTCTGGGAGGAGGCTCAGGCCTGGGAAGAAAAGCAGAGCAGACACCAGAGCAGCCAGGCTTGACAGCAGCCTGAGAGGCAAACCTCCTCTCAGAGGAAGAGCCTAGCAGGCAGCAGAGACCATGGAGCTCACCTCAGCCCCTCTCCACAAAGGGCAGCTTCCCTGGAGGGGACTCCTGCTTGCAGGTGAGGAGAGCAGGGGATCTCAGAGACTGGGGGGGGTCTTGGGGAGAGGGAAAGAGCCTAAGAAGAACCATCTGGCTTCTGCTTGAAGCCCGAGAGCAACAGGAAGCTCCCAGTGAATGTGAACTGGTGAGTGGGGAGGGAAAACTCAGTTGCTCCCCCTTGTAAGTTTATCAGCACTGGCCACTGTGTCCTGAAGACTGACATTCACAGCTCTGACAGGGTGACTCTCCTAGTAAAACTCAAACTGGAGTCTGTAAGCAGCAACATGACATAGGACCCTGAGAAATCTGCAAACAAACCCCAGGCTCTGGGACAATGATTTGCTCACAGGCATCTGAGCCTGTTCCAGGCAGTGGGGTTTAAACAAAAATCAAAGTAGTCCTCCTCACAAAGTCCTAGTGCTACTGGGCAGGAAGACATGGCAGAAAGGACATCTAGAAGGTGACCTCAGGGGTGACAAGCATTTCAGAAGAAACAGAGCAGGGAAAGGGCAGCAAATGAAGGCACAGAGTCTGTAGAGGAGGAGGTCAGAGAAGACATGCTTACACTCCCCAAAGATTCTGAGTGTGAGCAGGGATCTGAGGGGTGAGGGGTGAGCGGTGTAGACACCTGAGAATGTACTGTCACTCGGGGACAGATTCAGGGGTCCTGAGGAATGGAGGTGATGCTGCTGACCTCCCCCAACAGGACACACACACACACACACACACACACACACACAGAGAGAGAGAGAGAGAGAGAGAGAGAGAGAGAAAGAGAGAGAGAGGGAGAGAGAGAGGGAGAGAGAGAGGGAGAGAGAGAGGGAGAGAGAGAGGGAGAGAGAGAGAGAGCATGGCTGAGAGTTGAACACACTCAGGTTTCAAATTTCTACCAATTGCAAAGTTTCTAACATGGATCGATTTTCTCTCTCCCCTCTTAGCCTCACTTCTAACCTACTGGAACTCTCCTGCCACTGCCCAAGTCACTCTTGAAGCCATTCCATCTCATGTTGCTGAAGGAGAAAATGTTCTTCTACAGGTCAACAAACTACCAGAAAAAGTCCAAGTCTTGTCCTGGTACAAGGGAAGAACTACGAATGAATATAATAAAATTGTAAAAATTTTAATACCCCAAAAAACATATAAACCAGGCATTGCATACATTGGCAAAATAAATATAAGCCTCAACGGATCCCTGCTCTTCCAATACGTCACTCAGAAAGACACAGGACTGTACACCCTGATTGCAATAATGGAAGATGGTCATAAATGGAGTTCATCTGTGCACTTCTATGTACACCGTAAGTTATTCTCTATAACTTATGGGTTGTGGGTGGAGCTAATCCTACTTCACACATAGCATTGTGAGTCCTGGATGACGCTGTGTCATGGTCCCCACATTGTGGTTCAAGCATTTAGTAAAGGGCACAGAGTGGAGAAAACAGAAATATGTGAGGATGTCTCCCTGGAATCCACACTCAGAGAAGTGGGGGAGAGGTTCCTGAGCCCAGGGTCTTAGATGCTCATCATGAACATCTAAGGGGTTGAGAAAACCCTTCAGGATTGAGGTAGGACCTGGCTTAGGAAACCATCAGATTCTCACAGAGAGATGAGCTCCTGAATCTTTGCTCCAGACCTCTGTCCAGACTGGACCAGGAATCCGGGGAAGCTTGTAGACAGGGTTGGAATTTGACCCCCCTTTGGAGCCGAAAGGGGACAATGATGGACTGTAGGCTGGTGGCCTGCTGACTGTCAGCCTATGAGAGCCATGTCTGAGGTAGGTCACCCGGGCATCTCCTCCTGAGACTCAGTGTGCTCAGCATAGGTGGGGAGGTGTGACAGGCAGTCAGCAGCTGTTCTGATGGTCTTCTGAGACCTCACAGGAAGGTCAGGAGCCCTAAAGAGACAGGAGGAAACATGTATAAATGGCAGCTCCTTGGCCTCCTGGGGTCTAATCCAGGGATTATTTCCTGCATACATATGGGAACATATGGTAACAGGCCACTGTTCACCTTTAAGGTTAACTTGCAATCATGGCAACGGTCTTTACCATGGGTCCTATTATAGGGAAACTGAGACAGGAACCACAGTCACTGAGCCAGGGTCACAAAGTCTATGGGAGGCACAATCTCTGTCCACAGCAGCATCTCCATCCTCCCTACAGTGGAGACCTTAGTAGGAGCCCTACAGTCTTTTAGATCATTTTGTAGACTCAGGTATCTTTCATGTCAATCAACATCAAACACCTGACAAGGATGACCCACCTGTAGCCCCTCCCCACCTGAACGCCAGCCAGATCCTGACTGTGTGAGATCTCTGACAGGCTGTCAGGTTTCTCAGGGAAGCTCAATGGGAAGACTAATCATGACCTATGTGTAGGACAGCCATGAACAGCAAAGGCTTGTAGGGCGCTTGTCTACACTGAGCAGTGGAGTTCAGTGCAGCTGGAGGGACTCACACATTGTGTCTCAAGGCATGCAATGGGTCAGTGAGGACCTGGAGATAAAATGAGCTGATTCCAAGGCTTGAGTCTGTACCTCCCCAAACACTGCAGCTCAGTTCACTCATGAGAAAGCCCTGGCTTCTCCCATACACAGCTCAGGAGGCCCTATGAGCTCAGCGACTCCAGCTGCCTGTAATTTGCTTCCTGCCGGATTCTATAAGGATCTGGGTAGGTGGGGAGATAAGAGGCTATCTCTGGTTGGGAGAGGCCCTTGCAAGAATCAGAGATACCGGACAGGGCAATCTTCTCTCCGTTGTTTTCACAGCACACCTATCCAAGGTCAAAATCTCAAGCCTGAATGAGTCAGTCTGGGAAGGTCTGTTGTCACATAAATTAACGTGTGAGCCTAAGACTCAAAATTCAATCTACCTGTGGAGGATAAATGGCCAAAGCATCACAGAAGATGGCAAGAGGAAGCTGTCTGATGACAACAGAACTCTCACTTTATTTAATATTGTGAGGAATGACACAGGACCCTATGAGTGTGAAGCCCGGAACCCAGTGAGCACCTCCCGAAGTTTTCCATTCTATCTGGAAATTTCCTGTGAGTATTTTCTGTTGCATCTTAGCTCCAGCAGTGTAAATACAGATGGCTAGAGAAAGACACTCAGTCACCATGGTTTTATGACACAGAGCCACTACACAGAAACCTAGCCTAGCCATGGCATCCTGTTCTAGCCCAAGCACATGCAGCCAGGCCTAGCATTAACTAGAATGGAATGGAGGGAATTCTCCTGTCTAGAGAGGCTCGGGGTGATGGAGACAAGGGACATCTCAGACTCAGGCTCAGTGCACACGTCAGTGTACAGTGGGGCTGTTTGTGTGCTGTGCTCGAGATGGGTCAGGGCTTGTGCATGCTGCATGAATAATCTTCTACTAACCTGCACACAGCTCTGGGTGGAACCTGCTCAACTGAGTTATAGCACAACTCAGAGAGATACCATGGCCTTCTGCAGACCAGGATTTCCCCTTCCCTCTGCTGACCTCACATGTGGCTTTCTTCTGTTTGCTCCAGATGGTCCAGATGACCCCATCATATCTCCCTCAAATACTCATTTCCATTCAAGGACAAACCTCAGCCTCTCCTGTGATGCAGAGTCTATCCCACCTGCACAGTACTCTTGGTTTGTCAATGGAGTGCTCCAGGCATCCTCCCAAGAGCTCTTTATCCCCGACATCACTACTAATAATAGTGGGCCCTATACCTGCTTTGCCCATAACTCTGTCACTGGCCTCAATAGGACCACAGTCAAGATCATTACAGTCCTTGGTGAGTGAATCTCTGCAGTATCAGCACCAGGTTTGGAGTGGAGTCGTTTTGCTTTCTGGGAAGATGCAGGAGGATTTAGTTTCCATCCCTTGTCCATGGGAAGAAGCAAAACTCAATCCTCCCCAAGCATTCTGCTCCATCCCTATGTCTAATGGTCTCCTGCTTATCTGACCTCTCCTAGCTGATGGAGTAGAGCTTGGAATGTGAGAAGGGAGTTCTCCTGGCCATGGAAACCCTCGGGTTGTGTGAGGGAACTCTCAGGGGAGGGACAGTCCTAAGGTCCATATTTCTTTCTGTCACTAACACAAGCCTTCCTGCTCCCTCCATTTCTTCTTATGGTCGCCATGATCTAGAAGGACACCCAGGGCTTTCAACTGTGCTCACATTTTTTTTTCTCCAAATGAGAGAAAACTCCCCACGGATGGACTGGCTAGGCTCTGACTCGGTGAGGTGGGAAGAATGGGTATAGAAGGTTCCTAGGCGCCCTGCTCTGAGTCAGGATGAACCATGTCACTGACTATTTGATGATGCTCCTTCCCTTACTCTTCTCAAGTTTAAAAAGCAAATGTCACCGTTTGTGGTGGCAAAAGTAGTAGGGCTTGCTGAGAGAGGTAAAGGCAGAAGGATCAGGAGTTTGAAGTTTGTCTGAGATACACATTTTAAGAAAAAAAAAAAAAAAACAAGAACGAAGTCATATTGGCCGATTGTAGTGGTGCATGATTTTATTTCCCACACAAAGCAGGGAAAGGCAGGGAGACAGTGTGAGTTTGAGGCCAGCCTGGTCTACATAGCAACTTCCAGACTAGGGTGGCCCTGTCTAAAAAAAAAATCAGTATGGAGGATCAGAGTGGCATACCGTTATCCACACTCTGGCCATTCAATTCGTCTCTGTGGTATTAATCCACATTCATGTGGCAGGAAACAGACTTTTCAAACAGAATTTCTTCATTTTAGGATTTCTCACAGTCCTGAGGTCTAGGCTTTAACACCTCTTAGATTAGCTGGGACATCTTAACCCATGACAAATTAATCAAAAAGAAAGATAAGGCTATTTTCCTTTTCTTTTTTAAATTTTTTTTCTTATTTTACATAGCGATCCCAGTTCCCCCTCCCTCCCTTCCTCTTTCTGGCTTTTTCCCTCTCTCCCTCCCTCCCATGCCACCCTTCCTATCCCCCTCACACCACAGGGAGGGTGATGCCTTCCAGGAGGGATCAACAAAATCTGTCAAGTCATTTGGAGTAGGGGCTAGGCTCTCCCTCTGGCCTCTAGGTTAAGGGAGTGTCCCTCCATGGGGAATGTGCTCCCAAAGTCAGAAGGTTATTTTTTATGTAAGGACCTGACTGTTCACACTCACATACAGTGCGAGACAAGGATTTGCACAAAAATTAATGGGAAAAACATCCCTCTCCATGAGATTTGTGGACATATTGGCTGAAGAGGCTGTGGAATCTATACACACACACACCCAATTAAGGGGTCACTGTGTGTGATCTGGGTAGGAGGAGGATTCAGCTCTCTCCTTATAGACCTTACCTTGAACACACACATGCAGTCTCACAGAGGGCCACGTCATTCTGTGTCCCTGGGAGCTGGCTGAGGTCTCTGAGGGTGAAGGACTCTCAGCTGGTCCCCTCCACTCTTTATCCACAGAGCCAGTGACTCTACCCGTCATCCAAGTCACCAAAACCTTAGTCAAAGAAAATGACCACGTGATGCTGACCTGCCTCTCAAACGACACTGAGATCTCCATCCATTGGCTCTTCAATGGCCAGAGTCTCAGGCTCACAGACAGGATGAAGCTGTCCCAGGACAACAGTACCCTCAGCATAAACGCTTTCATTAAGGAGGATTCTGGGGAGTATGAGTGTGAGGTCTCTAATACAGTCAGTTCCAAGAGGAGTGACTCCATCCAGCTGGACATGATGCGTGAGTAACGTCTCTTCCCATATTACTCCATAGTGTTGGGGTGGGGCAATTTCTTTACCAAGTGTGTGCAAAATGGGTAAAAGTCACAAGATTAAAAGCATGGCTCAAGATACATATCCAGCCAATGTGGTGATGGATGCATGTTCATCTCATGATAAAACACCAAGCCAGCTGAGCATGGTACCCCATGCCTTTAACCCAGCGCAGCAGAGGCAGAGACAGCTTGATCTCATTGAGTTCACAAACACTCCAGTATTGGTACCCTGAACACTGTATCCTGAAGACTGACATTCACAGCTCTGTCAGTGTGACTCTCCTAGTAAAACTCAAACTGGGGTCAGCAAGTAGCAATGACACAGGATCCTGAGAAATCTGCAAACAAACCCCAGGCTCTGGGACAATGATTTGCTCACAGGCATCTGAGCCTGTTCCAGGCAGTGGGGTTTAAACTAAAATCAAAGTAGTCCTCCTCACAAAGTCCTAGTGCTACTGGGCAGGAAGACATGGCAGAAAGGACATCTAGAAGGTGGCCTCGGGGGTTGACAAGCATTTCAGAAGAAACAGAGCAGGGAAAGGGCAGCAAATGAAGGCACAGAGTCTGTAGAGGAGGAGGTCAGAGAAGACGTGCCTACACTCCCCAAAGATTCTGAATGTGAGCAGGGATCTGAGGGGTGAGGGGTGAGCTGTGTAGACACCTGAGAATGTACTGTCACTCGGGGACAGATTCAGGGGTCCTGAGGAATGGAGGTGATGCTGCTGACCTCCCCCAACAGGACACACACACAGACACACACAGACACACACAGACACACACCCCAAGGGTGAGAGTTGAGCACACTCAGGTTTCAAATTTCTACCAAATGCAAAGATACTAATTTTGATATATTTCCTCTCTTCTTTTTTAGCATCAATTTTGGTCTATTGGAACTCTTCTTACACTGACAAAGTAACTATTGAAACAATTCCTCCCCGTGTTGTTGAAGGGAATAATGTTATTTTACTTGTCCATAATCTGCCATCAACAGTCTGGATCTTTCACTGGTACAAGGGTAAGGTGCTTGAGAGGAACAAAATTGCAAAATTTCTAAGATTCATAGGAAGAAATGAAACAGGGCCTGCATACAGCGGTAGAGAGACTGTATTTCGTAGTGGGTCCCTGCTCTTCCGGAATGTCACTTTGAAAGATGCTGGAACCTACATACTAAGTATGGTAATCAAAAACTTTGATGTTAGGATACCAGTGAATTTGCAAGTAGACCCTAGGTAATTCTGTTTGCCCTCTGGTGGGGGGAGCCATGCTGTCACCCCTGGGGAAGGCACATAAATGTTTTGCCTGTGGAGCTCTCTATCAGGCATGGCCCTTTGGAGAATACCATCTGTTTGTCGAGGACCCAGGGAAACAATACTGCAGACCTCTGTGCTGATCCTAGGGAGCTCATGGGCTCCAGGCCTCTCTAACTTTCGCTGTGCTTATTCTTGTGATGACTCTTAGTTTTGCTTTCTTAGTGGTGATTATGCTTGGAATTACTGGGAATAAAAGCCTCTACAGGAAAACTGAATTGCTCTGATCTGTTACAGAAAGTGGTTTTCTGCCCCCCCACCCCCACCCTGGCTGCCTTTGCAGTCACCCTGAGTAAGCAGGAGGAACTCACTAAGGTTAATGGTTACTGCTTATCAATTCCAAAATGAGATAAATATACTCCAAAGAACTTGGAAAATGGTTTCTTAAAAGATGACATAAAAACATATAGGAACATTTGAGGAGAACATATAATACATGGTCAGGCAGTTCTCCCTGCCTGAACACCATGATATTTTTCCAATGTCAAAATATCAGTAAAGGAATGTAGCACTCTAAGTCCCTTAAAAGAAAAGTATATGCAGAACCTGCAGGATCGAATAGAAATTTAGTTCCAGCAGTTAAAGAGTTAGATATTTTCACGGCTGTATTGAGAACTTATAAAGAATAGGGTTATAACTACAATCCACACAAAAATGATATACGGATTATGAAGAAACTGGCATGCACCTGAAAATGATATCCTAGTCATGTCAATACACTCCTCTGGCTACAAAAATGTAAAAGTATCATATGGTTAAGGACTAGTATAGGGTTCAAATGTCTTACTTTGTAACCCATGCTTGCTCCTGGCTAGGGCACAGTATGAATATTTGGCTTGCACTATAATGATATGGGGTAAAGGTCAACACAATCAAGGGAGTGGGAAGAAGAGAGACTGAAATGAACAATGCTAGTGGTTCTTGGAAAATGATTAAAAAGAAATTATTTGAAAATTCTCCTGCTTGAATGCATTAGAAATTGCATAAATGGCCTGAGCTAGTTGGGGCCATCAGATTGAAAGACACCCAGTGGTCAGACTTTTCATTCTTTGCCAACTTTACACATCTGAGGCAGAGAACCCCACTAAACTGGGTCATGGGTGGAACGAATCCTACTTCACACATAGCATTGTGAGTCCTGGATGACTCTGTGTCATGGTCCCCACATTGTGGTTCAAGCATTTAGTAAAGGACACAGAGTGGAGAAAACAGCAATAAATCAGGATGTCTCAGTGGATTCTGCACTCAGAGAAGAGGGGTAAGGTTCCTGAGCCCAGGCATGACAGACTGCCCAGGGTCTTAGCTGCTCATCATGAACATGGCCTTGAGAAAACCCTTCAGGACTGAGGCAGGACCTGGCTTAGGAAACCATCAGATTCTCACAGAGAGATGAGCTCCTGAATCTTTGCTCCAGACCTCTGTCCAGACTGGACCAGGAATCCGGGGAAGCTTGTAGACTGGGTTGGAATTTAACCTCCATTTTGAGATGACAAGTGACAGTGATTGATTTAGGCTCGTGGCCTGCTAACTGTCAGCCTATGAGAGCCATGTCTGAGGTAGGTCACCCAAGCATCTCCTCCTAAGACTCAGTGTGCTCAGCATAGGTGGGGAGGTGTGACAGGCAGTCAGCAGCTGTTCTGATGGTCTTCTGAGACCTCACAGGAAGGTCAGGAGCCCTAAAGAGAAAGGAGGAAACGTGTATAAATGGCAGCTCCTTGGCCTCCTGGGGTCTAATCCAGGGATTATTTCCTGCATACATATGGGAGCAGATACCTGCATACATATGGGAACATATGGGAACAGGCCACTGTTCACCTTTAAGGTTAACTTGAATCATGGCAATGGTCTTTACCATGGGTCCTATTATAGGGAAACTGAGACAGGAACCACAGTCACTGAGCCAGGGTCACAAAGTCTATGGGAGGCACAATCTCTGTCCACAGCAGCATCTCCATCCTCCCCACAGTGGAGACCTTAGTAGGAGCCCTACAGTCTTTTAGATCATTTCGTAGACTCAGGTATCTTTCATGTCAATCAACATCAAACACCTGACAAGGATGACCCACCTGTGGCCCCTCCCCACCTGAATGCCAGCCAGATCCTGACTGTGTGAGATCTCTGACAGGCTGTCAGGTTTCTCAGGGAAGCTCAATGGGAAGACTAATCATGACCTATGTGTAGGACAGCCATGAACAGCAAAGACTTGGATGGCGCTTGTCTACACTGAGCAGAGGAGTTCAGTGCAGCTGGAGGGACTCACACATTGTGTCTCAAGGCATGCAATGGGTCAGTGAGGACCAGGAGATAAAATGAGGTCTCTGATTCCAAGGCTTGAGTCTGTCCATCCCCAAACACTGCAGCTCAATTCACTCACGAGAAAGTGTACCTTCTCCCATACTTAGCTCAGGAGGCCCCATGAGCTCTGAGCACTCAGCGACTACAGCTGCCTATAATTTGCTTCCTGCCTGATTCTTTAAGCATCTGGGTACCGGTGACTAAGAGACTATCTCTGGTTGGGAGAGGCCCTTGCAGAAATCACATGTACCAGACAGGGCAATCTTCTCTGTGTTGTTTTCACAGCATAGCTCTCCAAGCCCAACATCACAAGCAATAATTCCAGTCCCAGGGATGGTGAGCACTCTCTAGCTGTAATGTGTGAGCCTAAGACTTAGCTCATGGCACTTTCAATAGATAACTGGTGCAACCACTCTATATGAAAGTTTGACATTTTCTCATAAAGTCAAACTCTGACTTATACAACATCCCATTAGATCACTAGATATGTATAAAAATTGTAAACACACACATCATTTGTACATGAATGTTCATGGCATCATAATTCATAACAAGCAATAATTTAAAAATTTATGAGTAGAGAAACTGAACAGATCATCATGTGTCCAAAGGAGAACTGTGTAACCGAAATGTATGGATCCTGCTGGGTACTGTGGCACACACCTGAGCACTTGAGCCCAGAGGTCTAAGCCATCCTAAAGAGAGCAAAATCTTATCTCGAGGAACAGAAGACTAAGCTGTTGTAAGGTCGCTTGAGAATTAAGAACAATAGCTACTCTAACAAAGGACCAAGTTTGGTTGTCAGCACACATGTCAGTGGCTCACAATCACCTGGGACTCCAGTACCAGAGGATGAAACACTCCCTTCTGGTCTCCTTGTACATGGCACACATGTATTGTGTGTGCACACGCACACACACACACACACACTAATATTAAAATAAATCTTTTAAGAAAAGATAGGTTTTTACAATAATGCCCCATGAACAACAATACATACAAAGAACACATGAAACCATTTAAATTTCCAAGAGTAGACGATTCTAATCTATAGTACTAACAATTCACACTTGGGGGTCTGGAGAGGTAACTCAGGTTAATGGCATTGGCTGCTCTTCCAGGGAACACATGCTCCATTTGCAGCACCCATATGGTGGCTCACAGCCATCTGCAATCCCAGTCACATGGGATTCAAAACCCTCTCTAGCTTCCTTGGGCACCAAGGCACACAAGTAGTACACAGGAGAACAGGCAGACAAAACACCACACACATAAAAATTTTTATTATGTTTTTTTAAAAAGACTTGGCAGTTGAAGGTGGAATAGACTGCAAAGGTATTCAAAGAGATTTGGGAGTCAAACCATACATCAT